GCACCCAGTCACCTGCCAACTAGCCCTACACCCCGACAAACATACATACTAACATCCACCCATTTGCCGTCCACTGTCTTAAAATAAAAAGCGTTAATAATACCAAATCACTACTAAGAGGTAAAATACTAAAAAAAACAGTCGAAATTAAAAATTAAAATATACATCAACAGTTTAAACCTAAACATCCTCCACTGACGATCAAACCTGGTCACAACCAAGACGTCTTTCGTCGCGAAAGAAATGGAAGCCAGGCTGTTATTGTCAATAACGAGTATAGGCAAACGAATGTTATTGGTTTCTATGCGTACCATACGTTTCTTTGAATACCATCGCGCTTCTACAGTTAGATGATTTCAACTTCAAAAGCATCCTTGATAGTATTGTCACAATATTGATACACAAAATCAATATTAATGACTATTGTTGATGCAGGAAATGTTTACTATGGAAACCAATTCTTTGACAATGACCAGCATAGAGACGATGACGCTACACGATGACACAATTCAGTTTAAAAAATATTGACATGTTTTCAAATAACTGAAATGTTATTGTCCGGGTGATGGAAAAACGCGCTTTTTAATTAGTCCTTGAAAAGGTTGTACGTGTCTGTTACCATGGGAACTATGATTGTTCCCGTAAGGATGTAAACAGCATCTGTTTGCACAACTCTCTGAATGCTGCGGAAATTACCTATTTATGTCTACAGAAAGATTAAACACAAACAAATGACTTTATTACTCGGTTCATACGTTCGGGTCCTCAAAGCACAAATTGTGGTGCTAAAGAAAGGCTTTGAAATGTTGTCGTGCTAAAGAAAGGCTTTGAAAATTATTATATTTTGCCAGTGGATAAAATCATAATATATTAAATGACATGTTCTCTCCATATTGAATGCAAACACATTGAACAATTTTCGGGAAAATGGCGAAATTCTTTTGAGACGTTAATGATATTAAAGGCCAGTAATAATCTTGTTTCTCGCGACTGTTAAAATGGTAAAAATGGTTCTGTGTATGGAGGGAACATTTTGTATCTTTAATAGGTATTAGATTTTGAAAAATAAATGTCCTTATGTGTAACCCGGGGGGTGGGTGGGGTGGGATGGTTGGGGGGTTGGGGGGTGGGGGCTTCAAAGTAAGAATGCTGGTCCCCAGCAATTCAAGCATGTCTCAAGAGGCAACATCAGTGGATCGTGTGGTCAGACTCGGTGACTTGGTCGATGCATGTCATTATATCCTTATTGTGTGTATCTATGCTCATGACGTAATTCACTGGATTGTCTGATCCAAGTTCGACTTTTTACAGACCGCCGTCCGCTGGAATATTGTTGAGAGCGGGGACAGTCAGTCAATCCTGATCTTCATGTAGCACCTGATCTGTTGGTGAGAGGAGACGGGACACGGAGCCAGGGTAACTGAAGCTTGGATGACTCTGCAAACTCTGACCCTGTAAAGGGGGCACGGGTGGCCCAGTCGTCTAAGGCGCCGCGATTCGCTGTCTAGATTTGCGTCCCTTGGGCACGCCAGAAACCTATGAATGTGGGTTCGAATCCAGGTTCGCCCCGATTATGTTTCTAGGTTTGTCAGCACCATACCCGTGCTCGTTACACCGAAGTGGTAAACGTCTGAGACCTGCCTCACTTCAGGCTTTCCTCCCACATTAAGCTGACACGCCGTGATATAACTGGAATACTGTTAAAAAGCGGCGTTAAACCAAACTCACTCACTCACTCACTGACCCTGTAAATGTCATGTTGTTAGCAAACAGTCGAAAAACAGCAAAACGGTACCTTAAACTAATTACACAATAGGGGCGAACAGGTCAGGAAATACAAGAAATTAATTTTAACACGCCTCGAAAAAGGAAGCGAACATGTCCACGGTAGACAGAAAGGCATGATACATTTTCTATATGTTTTACTCGTGATTATATCAGTAAGTGTGTTATTTCTTAAGTACATATTGTAATATCATATATTTTCTTTTTGTTCATATGTGGTTGGTTACGGACCTAGGATAGATATAAGTACCACCCTATTGTAGGTTACGGACCTAGGATAGATATAAGTACCACCCTATTGTTGGTTACGGACCTAGGATAGATATCAGTACCACCCTATTGTTGGTTACGGACCTAGGATAGATATAAGTACCACCCTATTGTTGGTTACAGACCTAGGATAGATATAAGTACCACCCTATTGTTGGTTACGGACCTAGGATAGATATAAGTAGCACCCTATTGTTGGTTACGGACCTAGGATAGATATAAGTACCACCCTATTGTTGGTTACGGACCTAGGATAGATATAAGTACCACCCTATTGTTGGTTACAGACCTAGGATAGATATAAGTACCACCCTATTGTAGGTTACGGACCTAGGATAGATATAAGTGCCACCCTATTGTTGGTTACGGACCTAGGATAGATATAAGTACCACCATATTGTTGGTTACGGACCTAGGATAGATATAAGTACCACCCTATTGTAGGTTACGGACCTAGGATAGATATAAGTACCACCCTATTGTTGGTTACGGACCTAGGATAGATATCAGTACCACCCTATTGAAGGTTACGGACCTAGGATAGATATAAGTACCACCCTATTGAAGGTTACGGACCTAGGATAGATATAAGTACCACCCTATTGTTGGTTACGGACCTAGGATAGATATAAGTACCACCCTATTGTTGGTTACGGAACTAGGATAGATATAAGTACCACCCTATTGAAGAAATGGGCCGCTTCCATGGTCTTGTGGATAGAGCGTCTGTACGGAGAATGGAAGGCAGCGTCCAACGAGAGCGACTTCCGACTTCCAAAACACCAGGGGGCACGGGTAGCCCAGTCGTCTAAGGCGCCGCGATTCGCTTTGCAGAGTTGTGTCCCTTGGGTACGCTAGAAACCTATGATTGTGGGTTCGAATCCCGCTTCGCCACGATTATGTTTCTAGGTTTGTCAGCACCATACCCGTGCTCGTTACACCGAAGTGGTAAACGTCTGAGACCTGCATCACTTCGGGCTTTCCTCCCACATTAAGCTGACACGCCGCGATATAACTGGAATACTGTTAAAAGCGGCGTTCAACCCACTAACTCACTCTAAAACACCATCGCACGTTTCACCAGAGCGAACTGTTGCATCCTTTGAGGAATTGCATATGTTTGGATTGCAAGAGGGGTCGTCTCGTGAACAACTCACCACTGGTAGGAACCAAGTGACCAAGCGATGATTGATGTAACATTTATTGGTGAACTTATTTTAGTGTTGGTATTCACTTGCACCTTGACTATTGCACAAGACCAAACATGCATGGAACATACAGTCGTGTCGCATTCCTAGTTATAGGTGACGGCAACGATGACAAGACTCTTGGCTCTGGCACCGAAAAGAACCTGCAATACCTCGGTGATGCAAAGATAAGACTATATATTGTGACGGTACATTCTTTTTTGTTCCTGCCACTTCCATCAGCGGTAACCGGACATGTTCTTTTAGTGACACCATGTCTCAACTCTCTTCCTTCCTGACAAGAAACAACAAACCTATGAGAGAATTTTCCGCCTTCTCCGTTACAGATAGATGCTCTACGGCTAGGGGCACATTCGTCAGCACTCGCCCCTTTCCGTAACCTGCAAGAAGACTCGTCCCCCTCTCGATGAATGTTATGTGCGAAAATACGACAAACCAATCAGAGTGCGCGTATGATTTCAAGTACTTCGTCAAAGAATCCCTCAGAAATAATTTTTGATTTTACAAATGTCTTGCATCTAAAAATATACCAAAGACACAGTTAAATGTGTTCAATCATATTGTATAATTCCGCACGTCCCGATGTGCTTTAAAAGGCATCTGAAATATATATAATATATGGGGGAAATATATGTGAACCATTACGCAACGAATTGACAATTGTTTTAGTTATGCCCGTTTGCGCTAAGACGGAACCCGGTCGCAAAAATGGCCACGAGAGGGGCACGAGTCGCTATTCGGATTGTCCCGGAATAACACGAGTTGGTCACGAATGGCTAGGGGCATGGACCAGAGATGCCGAACAAAAGCGAATCCAGAAGTGACCCCAGAGGTGGACAGAGGCCGGTCGTCATTTTCATCGGGAGAACCACCATTCCACAGATTGGCCGAGAACTAATATCCTTCTGGAGAGCTGACCAGTGTCAGTGTGAAAAACTCATCTGGGGGACATCAATAGTGTAATATAAAGCAGGCAGCAAGCGGCCCCAAATGAAGAGACACCGTTCCATCTGAATTTCCCGGCAAGGTTTAAACTATGCCCCCAACATTGATCTTGTAGTCTTCCCTTGTGGGACCTCCTCAGTGGTCTAGTTGGCAGAACGTCTGCCCAGAGTGCCGAAGTTCGTAATTCAAACCCCGGCCCCGACCAAAATACCGTAAAAAGATGGCACTTGTTACCCTGCCAAGCGTTCGACAGTAAGGGATAAAACAATGACTAATCAACTCAGAATCAGTAAAATCAGTCTGGGTGGGGTATCCATGTTAAACCGCGGCATGGTACATGAATTTGTACAAGCTCACACACCCAGACACACAGACACAAACACACACCCAGACACACACACACACACACACACACAATCGTTATATAAGCACAATTATCTTGAACTTGACCCCATTTCACCTCACCACCTCTCTAAAACATAAAAACGCCCCTAGTGATATACATCACGTGGATTTCAACGCACAAACATTTCATTGCAAAATCTATAAAACGAATGAAACATGTAGAGAGTGCTGTATGTATTATTCATCAGGTATGGTAAAACAAATACTCGCATGTAAAGCCTCATTTGTTAATCAATACGTTTCTCTGTTAACAGCTTCGTGTGTTGATTTTTGTCAAGTGAAGCCATTATATCTGTTTGATTTTCTTCCTATATACAAAACATGGCATGAAGACAGCTATCTACCGTTAGATATTTCTTTTTACGATTTTACAGGGCAAATCAATATCACTCATCAACGGATCAAAGTTGGAACATCCATTCCACGACCGACGTCGTTGACAGTACGCATACATGTTAGTCAGCAGCCGTCAGACGCGGTAAGTCCTTTTCAACTTTACGTCAATCATATTTCCTAACAGTGTGAAAATAACAAAATGTGTGTAGAGATAGTGAATCGTATAGTTTATGTTACATTCTTTTCCTTTTCCTTTTTATTGGTAATTGGGTAATTGGTGGAAATGTAACTGCTGCAATACTTTCGATTTGAGTTTCTTTAATAGTGTGAACATGAGGTGAGGTGAGGTGAAATTGGGTTTAACGTCGCGTCCAAGATTATTGCACTTATATAGCGACGTGCATGCACGTGTGGCTGCTTGTACTAGTCCGGACTGATGCCGATTTATAGTGCTAGCTCACTGAGATACCATGCCGCAGTTTAACATGAATACCCCACTCAGACACAGTATACTGACTCCGAGCCGACCAGTCCTTGTTTTAGCCCCTTAATGCCGAGCGCCAGACAGGGTAACAACAAGTACAATCTTTTAACGTCTTTTTGTATGACGCGGCCCGGGATCGAACCCTGGACCTTCCGCTCTCCGGGCGGACGCTCTACCACAAGACCACGGAGGCGGTCGGAGTGTGAACATGAAAGGACACTGGAGATCCCTCTGCGAACAAAGACGATTATTTTGTGGCTAGTAAACCCCAGTAAAATATAAACATTGTTGAAGTTCAAAACATTGGGTTGGGATTTTTAAAGTAATTTTTTTCTAGAAATTATTGAAATTATATTATTCTGTCTCGGAGTTTTTAAAAAAAAGATATTTCTTTTTATGTCTTGATAATTACCATGTTGTGCCCCAGTGGAAAGAAATGAATGTCTTGAAGTTCTCAACGAAACAGAAAGTCTGTGTTTCTCCATCCAACCAAATAATCAGATCTTTAGTCACTGAGGGTAACTGTTCTGATCTGAATCTTCACACGACGTTCCCACACTGAATGTCATGATTAGGTAATGCATGGAAATGACGTTAAAATTATATATAGGCAGTTTTAGTTTATTGTAATATTAAGAATATTAGATGGTCAGGCCTAACCGTGAATATACAGCAACATGAAGCACCGCTGTCAGCATAGCTTTGCTGTATATGATGTTCACTGGTTTTCGCTTTTTACGCTCAAAGGAATCTGTTTCGTCGGATAATGGAAACTGGTTATTCTCAGGCCTTGACGTTCTATATTTTTATAAGTTAATTTAGTCCCCTGGTATGCTAGCCAACAAGGGGGTGGTTGAAGATCCTAGTGGTTAAAGCGTATGGTCGTCACGCCCCAAGACCCAGGTTCGATTCCCCACATGGGTACAATATGTGAAGCCCATTTTTGGTGTCCCCCGCCGTGATATTGCTGGAATATTGTTAAAGCGGCGTAAAACCATATTCACTCACTCCCGGGCAACACGGGTTAGGACTGGTCCCCAGCATATAGCTTGAGTGAGTGAGTGAGTATGGTTTTACGCCGTTTTTAGCAATATTCGAGCAATATCACGGCGGGGGACACCAGAAATGGGCTTCACACATTGTACCCTTGTCGGGAATCGAACCCGGATCTTCGGCGTGACGAGCGAACGCTTTAACCACCAGGCTACCCGACCGCCCCTCATATAGCCTGAGGTGGGTCGGGAGGACAGGCTCAGTGACCTGGTTGATTGTACGTCATCGTATTTCGACGGCGCAGGACGTTGTTCATAATATTAACCACCTGTTTGAGGTAACATGCCACCGTGTCATAGATGGAATATTGCCGACTGCCGCGTAATTTCTTTTAAACTATGATAACAAAGGGTGATGGATTCCTTGGCTATCCGTTAAAACAACCACAATAGTTCCATCTGAATTTCTTCCACCTGGCAAGGTTTCAACCACCCACGGGGCGGTCGGGCAGCCTTTTTTGATAAAGCATTCGCTCGTCACGCCGAAGACCCGGGTTCGATTCCTGACATGGGTACAATGTGAGAAGCCCATTTCTGGTTTCTCCCGCCGTGATATTGCTGGAATATTGCTAGAAGCGGCGTAAACAATACTCACTCACTCACTCACTTAAACCACCCACCACCCGTCTTTTAGTCTTTCATTGTGGTTCCGCATCTTTGGTGTTGTGAGCAGAGGGTCTGCCCGGAGATCGGAATGTCGGCGGGTCGATCCCTGGCCGCGTCATACCTAAAAGACGTTAAATGATGGCACTTGGTGTTACCCTGCCTGGTATTCGGTAATAAGGGGATAACAAAGGACTGGTCGGCTCAAAGTCAGCACGCTGTTCCTGAGTGTTGTGCCCATGTTAAAAACTGTGGCATGGCATCTCAGTTGGCTGGAACTATAAAATGTCACCATAACTGTACAAGCAGCACAACGCTATGGCAGTGCAATAATCTTGAACCTTCATTTCCTCAACTCACCTTCATTGTTGAACCATGAGTACCCCGGATGCACTTGTTGGGATTCCCAATACTCACGCACTGTGTGAACCCTAATCGACGTGATAGTACTGGATTATTGCAAAATAGGCTTAAAGCACACTCACACTTCCGTGATACACGTATTCATATCAGGAATTAAAACTAATGCTTTTGAAGTGTTATGCAACGTAACCAATCTAAACCTCACTTAGCTTTGCATTATCTTCCCGGCGATGAACTTACAGATCTGGTACAACGACTAGGCGAACATGATAGTAAGCGCATGATACGTGATTGTTTAATGTGAACAGGACACAATGATCGTTTAGCTATCAGGTGCTCAATAAAAACCCTTTTGTGTAAACGTAAATAACACTTACGTAACGCCACGACTAGCTAAAAGTCAACGCGCCATGGGTACGTTGCAAACAGAAATGACGCCAGAGATTTTAATGTTTTCGAAACACAATATTATCTCTTTCGGGACGTTATCTACAGCACGGCAACGCTCATGACTTGCCCGGCCCAATGGTCCGTATTCGTTTGCGCATCTACGGAATCGATAGCAAACTGCATCTTTAACAGCTCGGACAATTATGGGTTGAGACCAATTAGTGCAGATCGAACTGTATTCAATCGTTTGAAATAGAGCAACATCCGGCCCCGACGTCCAACGATACGGCCAAGTTTGCCCAAACGTCACCGTCAAGCACGCCTCCCTTTGAGTAGCAAGAACCTGACGTTCAGAATACTGTCCACAGATGAGTCTAGGTTACATCTGAACAGCTCTGATGGTCGTTCAAGGGTCGACAGGCATCCAGGAGAAAGTATTATCGACGCTTGCGCTACACTTTTGGGGGGTGAAGTGTAATGGTATCTCATGAGATGGCATCACAGGAGAACACAACCCATCATTGTTAATGGCAATTTGAATGACGTACCCTACCGGGACGACATCGTTCGAGATTATGTTGTACCCATGTGCAAATGCAAAGACGTAACGTAACAGGATAATGCACGCCAACAAATATTGCACGTGTTGTGACAGACTTAACATAACATTGTTGTACTGCTATAACCGACTGTTTCTCAAGACCTCTCCCCCATGGAACATGTCTGGGATGAGATAGATCGACGCCTACGACAGGACCAGAACCAGCCGGTAACAGTTAGACCAATCTACGGTTGACATTTGGAATAACATCACCGGGCCTCTTTCAGTCATCTGGTGTTTTCAATGCACCACCGCGACCTCTTCGCCTGTATCAACACAGCTTCTGGTCACATCCGACAGTGACATTATTAATTGAGCTGACACTCCACCCCTCTTTTAGAGCGTGTCCTTCTCCTGTTACCAGGTATGGGTTTTGCCAACGAATTTGTTATAATGAATCATTGAAAAGAGGAATGACCAAATATTATCTTGTTATTTTCAATAACTTAACATTTACAGCACAGTTACTTTTTCCCTAAAATTTATAAATATTATTATTACTAATGAATCCGCCACGCACAGTTAGTGAGTAGGATCATACGCCGCAGTTAGCAATATATGGGGGCAGGGGGCACCAAGAGCTGGCTTCATACAAGGTACTGTCGATTCGGGGAACACAACCAGGGAATTAACTCGCGATAACTCCTATGGTCAAGATTATCATAGAAACCTGGAACTACGTCCATCAGGCGACCGCTCCCACTCAACATCCCATCTTACAAATTTAAGATTTTGCTTTTGATCTGTCCATTATGTCGCTATGGAACTCTCTTTCGCTCAGCCTGTAATAAGCTTTTACGTTTCTTTCATGTCAAGATTAAAGACGCACCTCTTTGAACGTAACAATGGACTATTTGCTCAAGTATTTCTCTCGCTATTTTGAATATATAGTTTTTGTGTTTATGCCACTCGGCGTCAGGCAACAAGCAAACACTTATATTAATATGCAAATTGTGTGAGTGTCGTGTGGTGCCGCTTATGGCAGGACATGCTTACCTTTTTCGCGAACACCTGGTGTCATCATTGATTTTCAATTATCCATTCCTTGATTCTCATCGCTATTTTGCGTTTTACGACTAATGGAATATGTTTACGACAAGTTGTTGTCTGGCGTTGGCGTCTTGATATAAACTTGAACTGGGTCGATGTTTGTGCACGTGGACTGCAGCTCGTCATTAGCTCGGTGGCATGTATCATTATCAGGGTCAAACACAAAAGGGGTGTTTGGTCCGAGACATTAAAACTGCCCTCCCCCATTGTGTTGCAAAACGAACATATTTCTCAAACGTTTTTCTTCACTTATAAGCAGCACAATCTCTGTACATGTACACATTAAACGTAATTCAAGATTCACATATCGTTATCAGTTTCAACGTAAATCGCCAAATGCGCTATCGTGTTTATGGCTTTTCTGTAGGATTAAAATAAATAAATGCAGAAAAGGGGGTTTGGGTGATCCTTGTATAGTCAGGCTAAGTTAAGCTCATCATCAGCTTAGGGCCCTTGCCACCTCTATACGAAGCCCAGACAGGACTTATTCCAGGAAGCGCTGCCTAGTCAAACACACAAAGACATTTTCGGAGAATGTGAAGACTCCCCAACACTGCAACCTTCTGCATTACCCAGATTGTCAGAAGGGCTGTATTCCTGGCAGCAAACCCGGGTACTCTCCCCATGTCAGTCAACAGGTTTGGAGGTACCAAACCTAAGGCACCGAGAACAATGGGGAGTCGGACAACTTGATACTTGGGATGCAAGCGTGATATTTCGTAAACGAGATCCGCACATTTGTCATGTTTCCTGAAACTTGTTCATTACATAAGTGTCAAAAGGGACAGAAAATTCAAAGATACAAATGATTTCATTGTTTTATCAAAACGGACAAGGAAACATAGGAAGCATCCCAATAGGTCGTTATACCGTAGCACAAACAGGACGTTAAGTCGACGTCTCTAAAGGTCAATGTAAAATAGTTGACGTTCAATGAAGTCACCCATTTTCTCCTTCATGTTTTTGTTTTTGCAGATGCTGGTCGAGCTGTTTGTGGCTGTCGTTTTGACAACTTCAGGTAATGCGTACATTAGTATATATCAGCTATAACACCATGATGGTACACAGTACCCATGTTTGTCACCTGCGGCGGTATCACTGAGACTCGGCTAGTCACGTTTACTGATTAATGTGACCATTACTAACCTCCAGAATCGAGTTATGACCTTGCCGATTGTGTGTCATCGTATCGCGGTTTTGGGTCGCTGCTTGCGCTACCGAAGAGTATTCTTTTCCTGATGCAGATTTTATTCAAACTTTATGACGTTTGGCCCCAATGTCAAAACACCAAAAGGACATTTGTTCTATTTCAATACTCTAGTTTAGTGCCATACGACCCCAGCAATGTTGCCCGGGCCTGTAAATTATCGAAGGCAAACCAATGACTGATAGTGTGAAGAAGGGCGTTCGAACCTGACCACCCAATTAACATTTTAACCCCATCAGATGTTATATTGTAAATTGATATCCCGTAACATCGAATGTTGGTTCAAGTCAACTTCAGGGGCACGGGTGGCCAAGTCGCCAATAGAAGCCAGAAGCCTAAGATCGTGGGTTCATATCACAGTTTCTCTGAAGATCTTTCTTCGTTTGACAGAACGATTCGTGCTCACGGGTTACATGGTAGATCACTTCGGACTTTCCGCCCGCATATACTGCCGTGAAACAACTGAAATACAGCTGCGTAAAACGAAGCTATTCACTCAAGTTAAATTCTCAACGGTTTTGGTTTTGTTTTTTTGAGAAATAGAATTTAAAAAACAAAACAAATATACCAACTCTGTGTGTAAACGGTATTTCAAAGCAATACTTTGTGACCTTTAGCTTTGTATGGTCGTAATTACGTACATATATGGACTCAAGAATGGCCCCAATATCAAACTTGCTTGTTTGCTTGTTTGTTGTTTTACGCCGCACCCAGCAATATTCCAGCTATATGACGGCGGTCAGTAAATAATCGAGTCTGGACCAGACAATCCAGGGATTGACATCACCGATCCCGTTAGTCGCCTTTTACGACTAGCATAGTCGCCCAGTATCAAACAGGTATTGTGTGTATACTGTCCATTAAATAATTTCTTTATACTGTTATATTTTTGCTGCAGTTTTTTTTTTACGCATTTCCAGTTGCTTTACACTCTGCGGCATGATTATGGTCGGACAATGCGTAGCCTAGTGAAATAGTAAATGACAGTGTCATGTGGCAGTATATATTGTAAGTTAATTTCTGATGATTGTAAGTGGCAGCAATAATGAAACGCTCGTAAAATGCCACGAGTGCAGGTGACAGCCTTATGTTGTGATATGCGACAACCTTTGAAACAACATATAACAACAACAAGAAAGAATAAAACGGATCTTGTCGTAAACTTGATATTGCCGAACATTTCTTAATCAGGTAATATCGATATAGTTCCCCATAAGTAATAATTTTAATGAAATACTGGCCATATCAACGTTGAAGCCAACTCACTGATTCATTCGTGACCTACATGTATTTACATGTAGTAAATATTTTAATGTTCCAGCTCACTGTGTGAAAACTCAAAAAGGGAAAAACTTCCTTCTCCCATTCTTGAACACAACTGGATCAGCACGATTGATGTTCATAACAGATAAACCAACAAATATACACATAGAGCCCAGTACACAAGGACCCCCTGTTCTCTCTCTAGAAGCCAACGAGGTACACAACGTGTACGTCAGTGTAAACGATGTTGGGTACACTGGATCTGCCTCGCTGTCCAGTCAGCATAAAGCAGTGACCATCACTGCCAGTGAAGACGTATGGCTGTATGTGTTTCTCACAGACGCTGCCGGTTACAACGACACTGGCGGTTTTATGGCCGTCCCGACCGACGTCCTCACAGCCACATACACTGCAGTTACTTACAAGAGAAACGACGTCAGTCCGTACAACAACTTCATTCTGGTAGCAGCCGTTGAAGACAATACCACGGTGGCAATGAACGTCAAGCATGGTTCTATGTGTGTGTCTGCAAATGTGTCTGACGGGGACATCGTGCTCATCGCCCTGAACAGAAGCGATGTCATTGGTTTGCTTTGCAGAGATGACATCACGGGTACCGTCATCCAAAGCGACAAGAAGGTGGCTGTAGTAACTGGACACGAATGTGCTATGGTACCTGGCGCGGCAAATAAGTGCAATCTTCTTGTTGAAATGATGATTCCTGTTGAAAGTTTTGGTGAAACATTCGTCCTCTCTGCACCCAACATCACCGGCGGAGTCATCTACAGAATCGTTGCATCGCACGACAGCACCCTAATTAGCGACAGCTCCGGGGTCATATCTACACTGAACGAAGGGGAGTTTGTAGATGTTGATCTCAATACTTCTTCCAATGAACGTTGCATAGAAACATCTCAGCCATGTATCGTGGTTGTCATCAACAAGTGTGCATACCCGTCCTCAAACAACAACGACATCAACAAAGGCAGTGGCATGTCTATTGTCCCTTCGACGGACAGGTATTTGGACAACTACATCATCAATTTCGTGGATGCCTTCGACGAGACGAACATCATCTCGGTCGTTTACAACAATCCTACCACAACCAACGTGACAAACGCTAGCAGATGTGATTTCGAGATGATGACGTTAAAGGTTGACGAATGGAGCCAAATGGACTACATCAACAGTTCGGGATTAAAGGGGGTAATACTTTACAGACAGTCTGAAGATAAAATGGACATGGCTAGTTTCCCACTTGGAATGATCTTTGGTACGTATGTATGATCATTGCACGAGTGCGTGTGTGGTGTACGAGACGTGTCATGATTTGGACATATTTCACTAAGCGACGTCATTAATATTCACACGAAAAAATTAGCTGAAGTGGAGGTGTGGTGTATATAGTGTTACGAGATGAATCCCAAATTGAAACAACCCAGAAATCTGTACCTAAAAGAATTTAGTGTGAAACCAACAAACCACCAACAAATGGTATACAATCAACAATTGTATTACACTATTAACTAGACTTACAATTCAATACAAATTACTGCAGAGCAATAATAACGGCAATATGCAATAAAGTGATATTACATTAATCTGTATCAAATACAAAATATGACGGCAGTGGTGATAGCAAAAAGTTTAGTTATATTCATATTCACCTATACGCAACAGCGGTCAAGCTTCCGAGATAGGCCTAAGATGGGAAGCTGGTCTTGATGTTATGTGAGACGAAATGTGAGATGACAGGCACGCGCCCGCTCCACTTGTATAGTCCAACAAGCTTCCAGCACTTTCCACACAGTGCCAGACCAGTCCAGTGGCACTTTAACATCACATAATAGTCCACATGTTTATATAACGATTGACAGCAGTCCAAGCTATTCCGCAAGTTTACAGATAACTCGAGCATCTAAATTTGATAATTTCCTCACCACTCCTTACATTAAATAGTACTATATACCTGACAACTAATCATTGTCCACTTACAATGCAATGAACTTCTACTGAATCCCAACAGAAACAATGTAATTCAGTTAACAATAAATGTTTAACAACAATTTACACTGCAAATAACAACAGTGAAAACCGTGCCAAGGAGTCGGGTTGACTTGACGTCAAACATTCTTTCAATGGTATTACTTCCAGATTTGCTATTATTTCAAATAATTTATGATATCAGATCTAGATCAATGTGTCAGTATTGGAGAGTCTCTCAGGCTGGTTGGTAAAACATTGCATGTCATACTGGAGAACAAGGTTCAATTCGTTAAACTAGTGCACTTTTTGAAGTCTTTTCTCGAAATGATATGTGTTTTGCAAAACAACGCCCACCGTGTCCTACAGCGTTTAACAATGTCGATTCGCCTGGAATTAAAAACATATTAGAACCAAGCATAGTAGTTCTTTTCTGAGATTGATAAAGTTCAAGCAAATGCTTAGACGTTTTGAGAATCCACGAGGTATTAATTCCACGTGTCCCAAATCTTATTAAGAAAATCCTCTTTGATTCTATTGAGGATTATATTTACTATTTTAGACAGGGATTTGGCTGTACCAGCAAAATATCTCTGTTCCGATTTTTAAGGAGTTTTAAAATCATGGTTGCTGGTAAAGGAATGGGAAGTAAGTTCGTGTAATACATGATATACCCTGGTCCCACTTCAGATAAAGATGAGTGTGTCAGCATCCCCTGCTACAACAACGCGACCTGCGACGACCTCATCTACGATTTCACATGCATCTGCCAGCCCGGATTCAACGGTACTCTGTGTGAAATAGGTATGTGGTGCTAACGGTGGGGCAGGAAATGCTTACTCTATTTAGCGAACATCTTTTGACATCATTGATTTTCAGTGGTCCATCCATATAATTTTCACCACTATTGCACGTCCAGTAGTATCTGTTTCGGGTGATTATTCTCTAGCGTTGAGGTAATTTATCTTAAGCACATTACTATCAACACTACAACGTTAACGGATGTTTATTTGGATAAGTGAAATCTGACAAAACCATTCAAATAAATTATTATGATTATGCACTTTAAAAGTTTGCTAATTTAATGAGGTTGAACTTTTAAATCTGTTGCGGAATTCCATATTTCTACACGACAAGACAATAAATAGATTGAAGTATATATAAAACTGTAACTGCAGAGAAAATCTAGAATATCTGAGAAACAGACTTTATTGGACGTAAAAGGCAAAATAATGCTGAAAATTATGTGAATGGATCAATGTAAATCAGTGATGACGCCAGGTGTTCGCGAAAAGTCAAGAATGTCATTCAAAAAAATTGCATCGTAAATAAACATATTTTGTGGAGAGGTACTGTGCTTGTGAGTTGTATCCTATTGGACTGTTGTGTGGTTTAGTGAGTAAGTTTGACAAGTACTTCTGTTATAACACGGCGTGCCAGGAGGAAAACCCAAAGTAAAGTCGGTCTTAGACGTTTATAACTTGGCGAAACCGACATGCAACAAACATATTAATCCAGGCACATCTGGGATTCGGACCAACGATCATAGTTTCCTGACAAAACTAAAATTCGCAAATCTGCACAGCAATGTGTGGTGCTTGAGACTGCTGGGTCTCCCGTGCCTCCTACAAAAATAAATAAATATGATTCATATACTGCAATTTAAATGTAAAACAACATGTATCCTATTTATCACCGCAGCATAGCACAAATATAGTTAGTAAAATATAGCGGTATTTGTAGTCGAATGTCTCTGCTGATTGTGAACCTGTTACTGTTGACAGACATCGACGAGTGTTTGAGCAGCCCCTGTCAGAACAATGCCACGTGTCATGACAACGTTAACAGATTTGACTGCGAGTGCCGCATGGGCTTCAATGGAACACTCTGTGAAACAGGTAACTGATGCAACCTCCTTTCATCAAACCAACCCGGGGGCACGGGTGGCCCAGTCGTCTAAGGCGCCGCGATTCGCTGTGCAGAGTTGCGTCCCTTGGGCACGCCAGAACCTATGATTGTGTGTTCGAATCTCGGTTAACCCCGATTATGTTTCTAGGTTTGTCAACACCATACCCGTGCTTGTGGGTTTCACCGAAGTGGTAAACGTCTGAGACCTGCATCACTTCGGGCTTTCCTCCCACACGCCGTGATGTAACTGGAATACTGTTAAAAGCGGCGTTAAACCCAACCCATTCACTCACTTAAGTCCAACCCGCTGATCCTACATAGTTGTCTGTTATTAATCTTTAAGGGCATTTGTGAAGTATGGGATCAAATCCTATCCTGTATTCATGAAGGTAAAGAACGGTACCTTGTGCTCAGGGCAATAGCAATTGATATGTTTATGTCTGTATACAATATATTTGATGATACATATTCTGAATGATTTCATATTCTTGAAATCATATTTACATCTTTTTAGACATAGACGAATGTGCAAGTTCCCCATGTCAAAACAACGCAACTTGCAGGGACGAAGTCAACGGGTTTATCTGCGACTGTCAAATGGGTTTCAACGGAAGTGTTTGCGAAGAAGGTGAAATGTCTCAATCTCCCAAATCGTAAATTAAAACCAGAACTTGCATATGTAACAATATCAACACAAAACGATATATGTAATACTATTTAAGTATATAGACTGATGCAACCTTCTTTCATTTCGTCCAACTCTCTCTCCAACATAGTTGTTTCGGAGGACATTTCAATAGGAATTTCATATGTATTCATGGTCATTACATCTATGTGAAGATGATTATAAAATAGCGAACTGTATCACAACGGTTGATAAACACTGTTGGTCATGGACCTTTGATAGCATACGGTAAAAGTGGGACAGCGAATGAAAATATATTTTATCTAGCAGCACTGAGGACATCAAGTAGGGTCTTCCCGAATTATACCTATTTAATGTATGGAAGTAAGTGAAGTGAGTGAGTGAGTATGGTTTTACGCCGCTTTTAGCAATATTCCAGCAATATCACGGCGGGGGACACCAGAAATGGACTTCACATGTTGTACCCATGTCGGGAATCGAACACGGGTCTTCGGCGTGACGAGCGAACGCTTTAACCACTAGGCTACCCGACAGCCTCTTTAATGTATGGAACCCGTGTTCACGACACGAGGAACGCTTTAATCGTTTAATGACGGTCACGTAGCCATGTCGCTTCCACTGGTTTACCCAGCTCATGTAGAGGCCAGTGAAACGTCCTCATCTCTTTTATATTTAGAACTCTGCATAAGAGTCATAGCGACAGGAAAATATACACAAGATTGTATGACAAGAGGCATGGATGACTTCACCTTTCCAATAGTAAGCTTTGCATCTGACATCATGTTTATCACTGATGTTTCAAATTTGGACATGTCCTCCATGTCTACCATAAATCTTTCAGAGAAATTTGTGAAGTAACCGATAAAATCAAGCTCATTATTCATAAGGGTAACAAACAGTACATTGTACTCAGGAAATAGCGATTAACATGTGTTAGTCAGTATACAATACAGTTAATGATACATATTTTGAGCGACTATACTTGTCGTTGGAGGCGACTAACGGGATTGGGTGGTCAGGCTCGCTGACTTTACTGATGCAGGTCATCGTATCCAAATTGCGTGGATCGGTGCTCATGATGTCAATCGCTGGATTGTCGGGTCCAGAGTCGATTATTTACACACCGCAGTCATACAGCTGGACTATATTTGAGTGCGACGTTAAACAACAAACAAACAAACAAACATATTTTGAATGATGTTGGAATTGAAAGCATGTTTACATTTGTTTAGACATAGACGAATGTGCAAGTTCCCCATGTCAAAACAACGCAACTTGCAGGGACGACGTAAACGGATTCATCTGCGACTGCCAAATGGGTTTCAACGGAGATGTTTGCGAAGAAGGTAAGATGTCTTCATCTGCCAACGCGTGAAAGAATCTTACATATGTAACAATACCAACATAAAACGATATATGTATAGTATTTAAATATATTGACAATGCAATGTTTTCAGATGTACGAAGAAATTGCTTACATTGTGAGGCGCTAGGCAACACGAAAACACTCACTCTAAATTGTTACTGTTGACAGACATCGACGAGTGTTTGAGCAGCCCCTGTCAGAACAATGCCACGTGTCATGACAACGTCAACACATTTGACTGCGAGTGCCACATTGGCTTCAATGGAACACTCTGTGAAACAGGTAAGTGATGCAACCTCTTTTCATTTCGCCCAACTCCCTCTCCTCAACACATTTGTTTCGGAGGACGTTTCAAAAGGAATGTCTACCGTATTCGACGAAATTGGGGGCTCTTATTAGAATAGTATTTTGGTGGAAAACAAACAGAGTTGAAAGATAAATTTCGCGGTTTATGCTGACAGCCTGAAATGTTTATATACGACAGATATATTTTTCGAGAATTTAATTGCCCATAATTAAGGGTGCATATAACACACAAGTGCGTATTATACAAGAATAAATAAGTCTTGTGTACATTGATCAATCGGAAGGGGTGCTAATTGGGATTGTTCACTAGCCAATATATTAACAAATATCGCCGTGGGCGCTTATTAGAGCGGGGTGCTTATTACGTCGAATACGGTATATGTATTCATGATCATTACGTCTATCTGGAGATGATTATATAGCAGCGAACTTAATCACTACGGCTGGTAAACTGTTGGGCCTCCCAACATTAAACCCATATAAAGAATGGCACCAGTGTTTTTGACGTGAGGAACGCTTTGATGGTCAAATGACCAATTCGCTTCCGCTAATTCATTCACCACCTGAACTAGAAATAAAAGAGACAAGTGAGACCGCCTCATCTGTGTCAGATTTAGATCTATGTATTAAGAATATCAACAAGTGAGTGACAATAATGTCTCCACCAGACTCTGTGATACAAGGGATGGCTTCTCCGTTCCAGACCCGTGAAGATCCGGGGTAGAATAGGTCTTCAGCAACCCACGCTTGCCGTAAAAGGCGACTATGCTTGTCGACTAACGGGATCGGGCGGTCAGGCTTGCTGACTTAAGTGATGCATGTCATCGTATTCTCATTGCGTTGATCGATGCTCATGATGTCAATCACTGGACTGTCTGATCCAGACTCGAATATTTACAGACCACCGTGATAAAGCTGGAATGTACCTGTGTGCGGCGTTAAACAACAAACAATCAAACAAACAAAAGTAGACATCTTTGCATTCGACATCTTTTTCGCAACTGATTCGGGGGGCGGTCGGGTAGCCCAGCGGTTAAAGCGTTCGCTCGTCACGCCGAAGACCCGGGTTCGATTCCCGATATGGGTACAATGTGTGAACCCCATTTCTGTTGTCCCCGGCCGTGATATTGCTGGAATGTTGCTAAAAGCGGCGTAAACCCATACTCACTCACTCAACTGATGCGTCAAATGTGAAAAAGTCCACCACATATCTACCATAAAAATATACAAGAAATTTTTTAAGCATCGGATCAAATCTTCCCCATTATTCATGTCAATACATTCGATGATAAATATTGAAATTGATAAGTGATATTGGAATTGAAACCATGATTGTTTACACCTGTTCAGACATAGACGAATGTGCAAGTTCCCCATGTCGAAACAACGCAACTTGCAGGGACGACATCAACGGGTTTATCTGCGACTGTCAACTGGGTTTCAACGGAAGTGTTTGCGAAGAAGGTGAAATGTCGTCATAAGAACTTGACTTTCTTACCTTGATCAAACAACTTTTGAGCAAAAGTTGTATGATGCTCTTTGAAAACTTCATGGAAAGAGCATGATCAATTGTACATCAGTAGTTGTGAAATGCCGACAGCAACACCCGGTGTTCTCGATTGTTGTCCATGAAGAAGCGCAACGCGTTCGGTGTCGAGGTCATAGGGCCACAATATTGTAACTGGTCACACATGTGAAACTTAGATATTGCCTTTGTTCCCTCAGGAGAATCATAACCTGTTACCTAGCAATACTTCATACAGTTTAAGCAAAGAATGGGCAAATGGATTGTGGATTGCATGTATAATTAGACCCGTGAACATCCGGGGTAGAATAGGTCTTCACCAACCCATGCTGGTCGTAAAAGGTGACTAACGGGATCGGGTGGTCAGGCTCGCTGACTTGGTTGATGCACGGTCATCGATCCCAATTGCGTGGATCGATGCTCATGATATCAATCACTGGATTGTCTGGTCCAGACTCGATTATTTACAGACCGCCGTCATATAGCTGGAATATTACTGAGTTCGGCGTTAAACAACAAACCAACCAATCATGTATAATTCTGCACATAAAAGCGATAAAAATCCTTTTCATTATCATAAGACATCTCTGCTAAAGGAAGAGTCCAATGTACGGTCCCGACGACTTCATGAGCATATCATAAACATTTAACATCTTTTCAGACATAGACGAATTCGAATGTGCAAGTTCCCCATGTCAAAACAACGCAACTTGCAGGAACGACATCAATGGGTTTATCTGCGACTGCCAGATGGGTTTCAACGGAGATGTTTGCGAAGAAGGTGAGATGTCTTCCTAAGAACTTGTCTTTCTAGCCTTGATCATACAACTTTTGAGCAAGAGCGGTATGATGCTCTTTGAAAACTTGGTAGAAAGAGGATGATCAATTGTACCTCAAATGATGTTAAAATGTAGACACGAAGGGATGGAGCTGCCGTAACATTGCTCAACATGAAGGAAAAGTTGACAATTCGAAAGTCAAAGTCATCCCTTTTGGCACACAGTCTTGTCACTCTGAGTCTTTATGCATAAATCTAAATATGAAACAGATGAAGTGGTTTTACTGGTCTCCTTTATTTCTAGTTCAGGTGGGTAAATTAGTTGAAGGGAATTGGCTATTTGATGGTTATTGAACAATATCAGATCATCGATATACTTGAAGCTTAAATTAAACTTATTGGCCAAATTACCTTGTTTAGACTTTGCCAATCCGAGCAGAAATTCTGATTCCTATGGCCAAATTACCTTGTTTAGACTTTGCCAATACGAGCAGAAATTCTTATTCATATGGCCAAATTACCTTGTTTATACGTTGCCAATACGAGCAGAAATTCTGATTCCTATGGCCAAATTACCTTGTTTATACTTTGCCAATATGAGCAGAAATTCTGATTCATGTGGCCAAATTACGATGTTTGGACTTTGCCAATACGAGCAGAAATTCTGATTCCTATGGCCAAATTACCTTGTTTTGACTTTGCCAATCCGAGCAGAAATTCTGATTCATGTGGCCAAATTACGATGTTTGGACCTTGCCAATCCGAGCAGAAATTCTGATTCATATGGCCAAATTACCTTGTTTATACGTTGCCAATCCGAGCAGAAATTCTGATTCATGTGGCCACTTTACGATGTTTGGACCTTGCCAATACGAGCAGAAATTCTGATTCATATGGCCAAATTACCTTGTTTTGACTTTGCCAATCCGAGCAGAAATTCTGATTCATGTGGCCAAATTATGATATTTGGACTTTGCCAATCCGAGCAGAAATTCTGATTCATGTGGCCAAATGACGATGTTTGGACTTTGCCAATACGAGCAGAAATTCTGATTTATATGGCCAAATTACCTTGTTTTGACTTTGCCAATCCGAGCAGAAATTCTGATTCATATGGCCAAATTAGGATGTTTGGACTTTGCCAATCCGAGCAGAAATTCGGATTCCTATGGCCAAATTACCTTGTTTATACTTTGCCAATATGAGCAGAAATTCTGATTCATATGGCCAAATTACCTTGTTTTGACTTTGCCAATCCGAGCAGAAATTCTGATTCATGTGGCCAAATTACGATGTTTGGACCTTGCCAATCCGAGCAGAAATTCTGATTCATATGGCCAAATTACCTTGTTTTGACTTTGCCAATACGAGCAGAAATTCTGATTCCTATGGCCAAATTAACTTGTTTATACGTTGCCAATCCGAGCAGAAATTCTGATTCATGTGGCCACTTTACGATGTTTGGACTTTGCCAATACGAGCAGAAATTCTGATTCATATGGCCAAATTACCTTGTTTTGACTTTGCCAATCCGAGCAGAAATTCTGATTCATGTGGCCAAATTATGATATTTGGACTTTGCCAATCCGAGCAGAAATTCTGATTCATGTGGCCAAATGACGATGTTTGGACTTTGCCAATACGAGCAGAAATTCTGATTTATATGGCCAAATTACCTTGTTTTGACTTTGCCAATCCGAGCAGAAATTCTGATTCATATGGCCAAATTAGGATGTTTGGACTTTGCCAATCCGAGCAGAAATTCGGATTCCTATGGCCAAATTACCTTGTTTATACTTTGCCAATCCGAGCAGAAACTCTGATTCATGTGGCCAAATTACGATGTTTGGACTTTGCCAATCCGAGCAGAAATTCTGATTCATATGGCCAAATTACCTTGTTTATACTTTGCCAATCCGAGCAAAAATTCTGATTCCTATGGCCAAATTATCTTCTTTATACTTTGCCAAGCCGAGCAGAAATTCTGATTCATGTGGCCAAATCACTTGTTTATACTTTGCCAATCCGAGCAGAAATTCTGATTCATATGGCCAAATTACGATGTTTGGACTATGCCAATCCGAGCAGAAATTCTGATTCCTATGGCCAAATTACCCTGTTTATACTTTGCCAATCCGAGCAGAAATTCTGATTTATGTGGCCAAATTACCCTGTTTATACTTTGCCAATCCGAGCAGAAATTCTGATTTATGTGGCCAAATTAGGATGTTTGGACTATGCCAATCCGAGCAGAAATTCTGATTCATATGGCCAAATTACCTTGTTTGTACTTTGCCAATCCGAGCAGAAATTCTGATTCATATGGCCAGAGCAACAGACCAGGAGGTCAATACTATTTAAATATATAGACATTTCGAGTCGATCTTATGAAACGTACGAACCCATTGCCTATATCCGGCAGCTCCAGTCCTTGGTGTCTACATTTTGAGGTGATACCAGGACTTGCATATGTAACAATACCAACACTAAACCACTAAGGTATTGCTATTCAAACAGATAGCCAACATGTAGAAATGCAAGTGGATGTTATGAACCGTACGAACATATAGCTTACACTGTGCGGCGTTAAGCAATACACAGACACGAACCTTTATATGTTCATTGTATGAATGGCGGGTGCTACTGGTAGAGCAGGACATGCTTACCTGCTTTCATCACTGATTTTCAGTGGTTCATTCATATAATGTTCACTCCAGTTTTATCTTTTACTCCCATTGGAATCTGTCGCGACAGATAATCGAGACGTTATTCTCTGGCGTCTTATATTTACACCCGTTCAGAGAGTATTATATGTTAACCACAGATACAACAACACATTATCGTTAAAAAGGTGTACAAATCATCAAATACATCATTTTTAATACTAGATGCGATATTGCAGCTATGTAGTGCTCTGCGTTTACTATCCGACTCACGCCCTTAAAACGCTCTTGTTGATTTTGCACCGGCCTCCACATCCTCCGCTATGGTGCAAATTACAGAATATCATGGACATGCTTGCTTCCCCTTCTTCATAGGCAGAAATAATGCTGCACTGCACTACGACCTGTGATAATAATCGAGTGTTGACCTGTAACAAGTCGAGTCTGGCCCAGGCAAGCCATTGACTGAAAAGAGACAGCAACGGATTTCGAAGAGCCTGACCACATAATCCACACTTTACTTTGTTGTTTAACGCCGCACACAGACATATTCCAACTATATGACGGCGGCCTGTATATAATCAAGTCTGGTCTATACAATACAGTGATCAATATTGTAAACAACCATCTACGCCGTCGGGGTATTATGACACGCCGTAATCCAAGTCACCACGCCTCATATCACCCGATACATTTGATTGCATCGTACGACCAGAATACGTTGCTGGGGACCAGTTCTAACCCGGAATCTCCACGGGGTCGGCTCATAAGACAAGTATGATGTACTGGGCACCTGTTCTCGGAATCTCTACAAGGCGTAGACCTGTTTTGCTTTGTGAAATCTCTGCGATACTTTGAATGACAACAATGCGCATTTTAATTATTTATTGATCGAGATTTATTGGGTCCATTTTTATGTAAAAGGTTAAAGCCAAAGATACAAAAATAACGCCAATATTTAAGTAATGCTGGGCACAGTTTCACGAATATTGCTTACCGGTAAGTCTGTCTTACGTCGATGTTACAGTAGCGTTAAGGTCGTTTTGTGAAACGGTGCCACTGTTAAGGTTACCATTTGTGATTCTGCCTGCAGACATTGACGAGTGTCTAAGCGGACCGTGTGGGAACAACGCCACCTGCTTCGACATGGTCAATGGGTTCGAGTGTCTGTGCTCCCAAGGCTTCAGTGGAGGTCTTTGTGAAACAGGTAAGGTTCCTATTTGTGAAACCAATGGTGATCATCACTTATGGCACACACTGTATTATGCTCCGCATTGAAGTAATAATCTTTCTTTGTCATCCAAATGCTTTAAAATGGTTAATAAACATGCATATGGAGCACAGATGTAACGATATCACAAGCCATATTGCAGTGGTTAAAGGGGAAGTGTACACACAAAAATCACTTTCTATCTTTTTCTAAACAAAACGCAATTTTAGAATTAGTTAGTATCTGTGTTTGAAAATATACACTCATTTTTTTCACAGTGAAAGTAGGAAGCTCACAATAGTGTGAAAATGATATGCCGTTATGAGGCCTTCGTTTTTCGAGCTAAACAGGCCTGAGTTATCCCCCTTAGATTATGACGTAATTGGTGCCAATTCAACTGGGTCCCTGTCTATTCTCAACGCAAAAGATATCAAGTACCAGTTTGTGGTAAAACAACATGGCCTACGACACACTCCGGCGCAGTGGTGACTCAGCATAACACTATGCTGGCTGGCATCTGAGACGCTAGAATCACACACCTGTACCTACACCACGTGAAGCGGCTCTAACAAAGCATGATGACGTCATAATGTTTATCAATTGGCACCAATGACGTCATATTGTAAGGGGCATAAGCCATGGTGTTTTTGTTATGGAAATAGAACACTTGGTAAATGTGAAAAATATAAATCATTTTACTGCAAAAAATATGTCAATTATTAGTGATATTTTTATATTTTTGTCTATGACACTTCTAGGTTAACACTTTTAATGTGGAAAAAGTACAAGAAAAATAGGTTCATTTCCGTGTGAACTTGCCCTTTAAGTAACGATGACCCAATCTTTGACGTAATGCAAACATTCTTGTTGACGTGATGTGCATTGACGTCACAATATTAATAACGGCATCGAACATAATTGTTGACGTCATGTTAACACTGTTATTAGCTCAATTATTTCTATAATAACAAGCATTGCTACAAAATATATATTCCCTAACTTTGGTTAATTATAAAGTGTTCGTAATTAAAAGATATCGCAACATGTTTGTTGATCAGACTCGCGTCATGAGTGGTGCAATTCCCGTGCACACATTCTGACAATTGTTTCGCTAAATCCCTCAAACAAATCTGTGTTTTAACGGAGTCCCATTGTACGTGATAGACATCGACGAGTGCCTGACGACTACATGTGAAAATGGCGGGACATGTGAGGACCTACCTGGATACTTCCTGTGTCACTGCAAACCGGATTTCCACGGAGTTACATGCGAACACAGTAAGAGGACTTTCTCATTTCATGGCGAAATAGTCAGATAAGGGATGTCAAAATTGCGATGGAGTGAGTGAGTATGGTTTTACGCCGCTTTTAGCAATATTCCAGCAATATCACGGCGGGGGGACACCAGAAATGGGCTTCACACATTGTACCCATGTCGGGAATCGAACCCGGGTCTTCGGCGTGAAGTGCGATCGCTTTAACCACTAGGCTACCCGACCGCCCCCAAAATTGCGATGGAAACAGGCACATCTCTATCATATCATCTGTTAACGATAATATTAATAATTGCATCATATGGATACTGAACAAAAGGTCCTGAATATTTTTGGCGATATGTTTCTGTTTTGAAGACCAAACACACAATTTAATGATAAATATCCCCAAAATAATCATAATTGCCAATATAATTATTATTATATTATTGGATCAAAAAGATATTCACGAAAACACAAAGGGACTGAAATTATTCAATAAAAAACAATGTAAATGTTTATGTAGATCCGGGATATGCAACGGAAGCGTTAATCACAGGTCACAGATATTAACTCGAGGAAACTTAAGCTATGATTTGTTCAAATTATACATCTTTCTTTGACTTCACAGACGGCTACAGCTACGTGTTTACTCGTCTGCTCGACGTGGACGACACTCTGATGACATCATCGGGGGTAACAGTAGTTGCAACACCCCTAGCCACTAACATCCGGTTCAAGACCACCTACACCACCCCGCTAGCCATGTACAGCACGCCGGGTGCAGATTCGGAAATAGACTGTGTATGTACCCGTTACGGCAACGACATCCAACCGGAAGTAGACCCGGAAGTTCTGACAGACAAGATCAAGAACGACCTTCTACTGGACACGTCCAACTTGACCAAGACGGTGAACAGGTATCTCTCAAGTGAGGATGACCGCCCTTCGGCAAAGGGTCTGGGGAGTGTGGGGTGTATGATCATCATCTTCAGCATCATGCTCATCGTGGTGCCCGATGTTCTGTATGTGCTGAGGAAGCTGGATGGCAACAGAGGGACAAGACCGGAGAAGAAGGCTTGATCTGGGGTACATCAAGCACACAGTCTCGTCCCTCCATGTAGCCGCGTAAACTCGCAGCCTGGCGCCCAGTCACTTGTTTGCCATAGAAATACTGTATATATGTGGCATTCTGCGTATCCGTATAGAGAAACTCCATCTGCACATATATGAACGACATGTATCATATTAAGTTGTTTTCAAAAGAAAGTATACACTTGAATATTGGATAACTTCCTGTTGTTGACCTTGGTTATGTGAGTCTTTTTTGTGGGTGAGTCCAGGTTACAGTTGCTGGTAGTCTGGATCTGTCCGAGGCAACACTTGCTTGATAACGGTGTAAGAACCTACACCGAAACGCCCCTCTTAGTTGAAATAAAGAAGTTGTTCATCCATATATGCTTACCCTTACTTTGAACATTGGATTTGGACAAAACATGACAAATGTTATCAATACTTTCTAGGCTGAAAACACTGGCCGAAACATTGCAAATGTATAAGGTCCAAAACACAAATGTGATACCTGTTTTAAATACATCATCTTCGAATAACCATTTTTTTGGTTGTTATATTTTCAGCCACTATCAGACATGAGTGTATATTTTCTTTTGCCAGGCAGTTTACTTTGATACCAAAATAATATAGTTCAACATGTTATCCCGCCGTCGTTTGTAAACTATATGTTTGTATTAAAAGTGTTTTGCAAAGATACGGTTTTCACTGTCAAGTAACGGGCAATTGTACAGTCAAGTTTGGGTGCCACGCCAACGAGCGCCTGGTTACAGCTCCAGGTAAGAAAGTATACCACACACAGTTTGGATAAGACCAAGTCTCACACGAGGTCACATGATGCGATGTACACCCTTCGTATTATTTTTAAACAGACCAAGTACCTGGTAAAGTGCAACGCAAATGTAAAATGATTCATTTAATGAAAACTAATTTCATGTCTATAAATAAGGTGCAACGTAAATTAAAATGATTCATTTAATGAAAACTAATTTCATGTGTATAAATAAAGTGCAACGTTAATTAAAATGATTCATTTATTGAAAACTAATTTCATGTGTATAAATAAAGTGCAACGTAAATGTAAAATGATTCATTGATTGAAAACTAATTTCATGTCTATAAATAAGGTGCAACGTAAATTAAAATGATTCATTGATTGAAAACTAATTTCATGTGTATAATAGCCTTTCCATAATCATAAGAAGTCACTTTAAATTGAAATTCATAAAGAAAAAATGGAAAATATGATGATATGCACTTTAAGGGTTAAACACGGTTCTACATGTGTATCCCGTCCTTTGCCAAGCCACACTGGGTGTTTGGTGTTGTTGGAATGAGTATTTGACTCAAAAAGCGTCTTTTAACTGTTTCAACTGTTGTACATTCATAATGTTCAATGGAAACCGAAAAACACACGTTTTGCTAGTATCAGTATTGTTTAAATTTAAGGATTTCTATGAAACCACATTAAGCGCCAATATACCAAAAACCTTAAAAGATGAAGTGAGGATGTTGGTGTTATCTGTTCCTAAACAATAACAATATTTCAAATAAGATCATGTAAACCTTCTCTCTGAAAGCAGGTGAAAAACATTGTTATACTAAACAACTTTGTCAGACATCCAGCCTCGGTAACTAACAATGTTATCAGTTTGGCCAAACTAATATATTCAAAAGAGTTTGTTGAAACATCATCATATGCCTCATCAAAATATCCTATAGTCGGTCACTTAGAATTAAGAACTGTTGGTTTACAAACCATTGAAAATAGCAAAGCCTTTAAAATAGCTTTTCATTCTTGATTTTGTTATGTGGAAGCGTTTAGAAGTTTATTTCTGATAATTGTTAGTGGCGGCAAAAATGAAGCGCTCGTAAAATGTCAAGCGCTAATGTTTCTAGGGTGTAGTTATTGACGGTCTTTGTCAACCAGAGTACATGAGTTACCGCCTTTATAGATAAGAGTTACCCTACCGCCCTACCTCCTTTCCGGGACAAACTCTCATGTTCGAGGCGCTTCGCAAGGCAACAGTTTCTAGAGGGCCGACTGTACTTTATATAAGAGTGACACGAGGACGATTGGAGGCCTCCTTCCATGACCTCGCTTGCGCTTTATGTACTTGCACAGTGCGGACGGGATATCTATCGGAAAACATCGACTTATTGCCTGCTTCCAATACTGTTTTCTGGATTCAAGAACGGGGCACGTGTTTCACTCACGACATTCGACTGACAATTTCTGGACAATCGTGAGGACAGTGACGAATGTGATAGGGCCTGTAGTTATACTACTGCTGCTGCAGCGTATCTGACCCATTGTATTGCACTTTTATTATTTTAACCTCATCATGTGTGTTTCAATATAATTTGTTGATTGTTCATTGATCTTGTGTGATTTCACAGGTTAGTTCTGTAGGTACTGATTTATGGGTTAACCTTCGCATTTCACCTTGGAATCAACACATAATAATTTATAATTGAAATGTTTCAAATTATGTCACCTGTGGCATTCCATTTGAAATTTTGAATTTCAACACAATTTTCCCCACTATGACAAAAAAGAAAGAACATTTTTGCACAGTTCTTGTACAGTAAATCCATATATGTCACTTACTCCTTTCATAGCCTCTATTTCTTTCTGTTAAATACAAAGAAACCCTTGCAGGTTTAGAATTCAATCATTAGTTTTGGACTGTTCTTTATTGACAATACTTTGAAGTTTTTCTTACAATTTTAGTACAAATATCTTATAGCTTAAGAAGATCTTCAAAGGGCTTACTGATAATTAGATCTTATCAGTCTGTTTGAAAAAGTCTGTATATAAAAGCGCCAAAATCCTTTCCATAATCATAAGAAATCTGTAGCCTATTGTGTGATTGAATGTTATTTGTAGGTCACACTGTATTGCTAGTGTTGTGAAAAATGCCGTTCAAAGAAATGTTTTTTGCTTGTATTTGTTTCATTGATTTATTATAAAAATCCTGGGTGGTCGGGTACACTAGTGGTGAAAGCGTTCACTCGTCTCGGGTTCGATTCCCGACATGGGTACAATGTGTGGAGCCCATTTCTGGTGTCCCCAGCCGTGATATTGCTGGAATATTGCTAAAAGCGGCGTAAAAACATACTCACTTACTCACTCACTAATAAAAATCCAGTCGAATCACATTTCTTACGCGCTCTATGTTATTGTTGCCATGATACAAACACCATTGTTGACGTACATTGTGTTATTGTGGCTTGAGGTAACGGGTCGACGACATGTTGTCCTCTGGACAGTGTTTATAATACAAGAGTCACTTTATCACTACTTTGAAAGCTAATAAGAAACTAGATATTATTCAGAAAGACATTGCGTGATAAACTGATTGTTACAAAACTCATAATTAATTATTCCCTTCATTCTTGCCCGGGAAATGCAACAATGTAGTCATTCCATTTGCAAGGTTGATAATCTTGATATATTTCAACACGTTTGTTAAAATAATTTGAGCCATCCGCTACTGATGATAACCTGTTTACCATATTCGATCCCCGGCCGCGTCATACCAAAAGACGTTAAAAGATGGTACTTGTCGTTACCCTGTCTGGTGCTCGGCACTAAGGGGCTAAAACAAGGGCTGGTCGGCTCGGAGTCAGTATACTGTGTCTGAGTGGGGTAGTCATGTTACACTGCGGCATGGTATCTCAGTGTGCTAGCACTAATAATCGGCATCAGTTCCGGACTAGTACATACAAGCACACACACACACACACACACACACACACACACACACACACACACACACACACACACACACACACACACACACACACACACACACACACACACACACACACACACAGAGTTGTAGTTGAGTTGTAGGTAGTTAACATGCTTCATAATTAAGATCTGTTTATGATCAATGATTTGAAATACACTGAAAGTTTTTGTGTTGAACAACGCTTTTAAGAAGATGAGTTTTCAGTGAGAGGTGGTGAACATACTGTTTGTTGTCAAGTAGGGCCAATCTGAATATGTAGAGAATTGTAGATCTTGAGATATATGCGGACGCGACGTTAAACCCAATTTCACCTCACCTCACCTGTTCTTGTGGTGCTAAGGGCTTTGGAGGTTGAAGGTAGTAAGTGTTCATAAACAATAGAATGCTGGAAATATACGATTGCTGTGCATTTGTTCGTGAGATAACCATTACCATACTACATCAGTGGGACAGGACACGTTCACCTTTTCGCGTGTTCCCGTGTTTTCTCAGGTGAACAATTGACTTGCCTTTGCATGTGTTTGTGACTAGTGCGATCAGTGAAGGAGGCTACGTTCACCTATTCGCGTGTTCCCGTGTTTTTTATTTATGTGAACAGTTGACTTGCCTTTGCATGTGTTTGTGACTGGTGCGATCAGTGAAGGAGGCTACGCTCACTTTTTCGCGAACACCTGTATCATCACTATTCGACAATGATTCATAAACATATGCTTATGATATAGTCAGAATCGTACAATGGACTTTGCTTAAGTTTTAATAGAGATCGTATGATTATTGAAACGGTTTTGTCGCTTTTATTTGCATAATATTTTTTAATTATGTTGTTTCATCATACCCGCCCTGTGGACAATCCGGTAGGTATCTGAATGTGTCACAGACAGGGATCCGACGTTCACGCGTTGAATTTGGGCGACAGGTCAACGTTCGCAATGGTGTGAAAATACCATGTTTTGTGTTTCTATGATGGAACATGCGTTGCTAACCAAAGGAAACTTACGACCTACTGCGCTTGACCTGTTCACAGGTCATGGCAAATCAAGAGAAGCCATCCAGTGTCACCTATTCCTCTCCGATAAAGGTAACTTCAATCTTTTGTGTTTATATTTATTATGTTTAATATTTCTTCTGGATCTTCTTTTGCAACGTTCACAGATACACATTACACTGACAAGTGCATTTGTTAGGCGCTATCTTACATCCACGATGTGGTTGCTCGAAGCGCAAATTGTGAATAGGTTGAAGTCAGAAGTATTTGTGGAAGAGATGAATGTTCAGCTAAGCTTTGGAAACGAAAAGACAAGGGAGTTCTTGAGTTCAACTGGGAGAGAGTTAACCAGTGAAGGACAACAGAATGCGAAAGACCCTTGGCTCTCGGAACAGAGAAATTATGTTATCCATCTATGCACTTCTTCACAACTCCATGAACTTCTCCACCAACTCTAGTATATATGCTTGTGCAGATCCATTGTAGCAACTTTAAGCAAGGGAGAGTACCTTGAACTCAATTCTTGTGGCAATTATAAGCCAATGCAATGATATCAAGATAGCGGTAATGTGAGATCTTTGCATTGAGTTGCGGATGTGGATGGAAAGTTCTAGTGAGGCAGAAGAGAAGAGATCTATGTAACCAAATGGCTATTGTGTCATGGAGAAGATCCAGGTTCGAATCCTGTGAGGACTTACAATGGTGAAGGATATGGAAAATGGTACCTGTTTGAATGACAAAACAGTACACGTCAACAAATCATGATTTTATGAAAACCTTGGTGTCCTAGTTCTAGGGACATTGTCGCGTTTTCGCAGAGTCGTCCTTTGGCCATTTGTCGCATCTTCGCATTGAGGCGTTTTGAATAATATTTTTGATTTTTACAGGACGACAATGCGACAAGAAGACTTCTTTCAAGGCCAAAATGTTGTCGCGTTGTCGCCTCATTTAAGAAGTGTAGCTAAAGTTAAACGCCAATGCGACACATCGATTGTGTCGTATTCCCAGCAAACAACGAAACGCTGCTACAACGTTTTCACAACGGTTCTTTTTTATTAGAAAATGGTCTAGACTCTAGATTGTCTACAGACCGCCTTCAAATAGCTGAACTATAGCTGTGGTTTGCCTACTCCAGCTTCTTCCGGCAGTTCCCT